CTCATTCAAAGTTCCTACAATTCTCTCATTCAAAAATACCTGCAAAAGAAGAGCAGGTGTCAGACTGCTGAGCCCACCTGAAGAGAGGGAGACGAGAGGCTGGGGCTGGGGCAGAGGAGGTCAGTATGAAGGCAGGGACTAGCCATGGTGCTCACAGACGGCTCGAGGCTGGCTGGGGCCCCCAGCAGAGTTTAAGTTGTGATAAAGCAGAGAGAGCGTCTATTTGACTTGACTTTTTATTCCCAATGCCTCCCACGTAGTAGGCGCTTCAGAATGTTGTCAAATAGGAACATGGGCCGGTGACTAACTGCCTTCCCCAACAGCAGAGTTAGGCTAAACGTTTTGCGTGTCACCCCAGACAGCCTGCTGACACCTACCTGTGCCGTGTCATGAACAAGAGCATGGAGGTAGCCTCTGGAGCAGATGGGGGTCTCGTAAAGGATGAACCCATAGGACTGGCCACTTCCATTGTTTATAGGAAGATTCTCCATGTTGACTGGTTGATTCAACTTCACTGGCTATGAGGAAGACATGGCAGGAACAGAAGCCAGAGTGATGAGAAGTCAGGATCCTTCTTCCTAAGATCCTTGTCACTTTGTGTGGTCCCACCTAATGGTCCCCCAGGGTTCTTTGATTGGGACAGGATAAAAGAGATGCTATATGATGATGCTCTCGTGGTTCGGATCTCCACTGCCGGGCAGCTCAGGGGATGGTGGGGCATTGTGCAGAGGGAACAATAGCTATAATCGTTAACAATTGATTATCAGAGTGAGTGAAGTGTATTCTAAAATAGCTGAAGTCAAGTGGTGAATCATGCACTAAGCGAACGTCTATTTAGCATCTACAATGGGCCAGTCACTATTTTTTATTTAAAATAGTGATAGCAGAAGTGAAACCAATATCAAGAGTTCCAGTTTCAAACAGCTTTCACATTTTCTTCAAAATAGGACTGGCAGTCTCATTTTAAAGGGGGAGCAGAGACCCACAGAGGTTCAGTGATGTGTTCTAGTTGACGGTGGAGGGAAGACAGGTGCTCAGTCTCATGGGTTCCTAGCTCGGCAGCTTTTCCTATGTGGATCCCATGTGGGTCCCATGTGGGTCCTACGTGGCCCATGCAGTTCCAAACAGCTTTCACCAGGTGGGTCCATCTGAGCTGGGCACAGGATCCTCTAATATCCCACCACCCTTCCCTACACACACGGATTCTTCAAGTTCAAACCCTCTCACAGTTCACCTGGAAGGAGCTGGTGATTCTAAATTTGGACAAAATGCAAAGGCTTAATTATCACATTTCCCAGTGAAAAGTTCCTTGAAGGAATCCCTGCTCCATCTCTCCAGTGGCCACTTCTGTTCCTCTCAAGCAGTACTCACCTCATTTAAGTACTGGAGGACATCCCACAGTGGCAGGTAGAGCGACGGTGTCACAGGAGGGTACGCAGCCTTGGGAGTAAGTTCAGGTAAGCTGGGCAGGGGAATTACTGCAACGAAGATGGGTCACAGGGTGAGAAGTGCCTGAAATGACCACTGCCTTCCCTCAGCCTCCCAACCCCATCCCCACCTCTTGCATCCCAAAGACAACAAGAGAAATGGGTCCTAAGTTCGAGCCCTTTTGTAGCCACATGCACCCAATAGACACAGAGCCCTCTGAGGGGTGATGGCCTTGTAGTTCAGAGCTCTTAGGGAGCAAGGATTTTGCCTTACACCTTTAGGCAATGCCGGTGCTCACTAGTTTCTAGCCCTTAGTAGATGTTTAACTAACTTCATTTAAATAAATACAATTAAACAGCATCATTTTTGCTTTTGTGTTTGGGGTTACTATGCCACACATGATACTACTACATGAGCTTTACAGATAGCGACTTACTTAATCTTCACAATCATCACAGGAGACCAGTATCTTTACCTTCATGTTTCAGTGAAGAAACTGAAGCTTAAAGGGCTTAGAGACACTTTTAAAAAAAAGAAAACCACAAAGATTTTAAGTGGGAAACCCAGGATTTGAACTTAAGGTTGCCATTGTCCTCAAGAGCTTCATTAAGCGGCTGCCATAGGGGACATCCTTGCCTTCCTCACCCTTCACAGCACGGAGGCGCCCCACAAGGAGGCCTAGCCCCCTCTTTAAGTGGTTGCTGAGTACCTGAGACACAACCAAGGAGTTTTCGAAGTTTGAAGTACTTTTCTGTGTAATCTCCGGCCTCTGTCAGCACAGCGTCATAGTCTGCAAGACACCAGCCTGTCAGGGGCCACGGGGTCCCCCACAGCAGCCCTGTTTCAGCACCGCTGGCACAAGGCGGGCCAGGGCCACTGAGAGTGAGACGGAAGGAAGATACACGTCCCCACTTCCATTGCCTCCCGGGCTGGGGTGTGCATGTGTCACGCCCATCTAGGAACAGTCCCCACAGCCCTTCCTGGGGACACTGCGCTCCTCCTTCCATTCACTTCCTGGTGGATCTGCTTTCTCTCCTCGGTCTGGATTGCCCGGCTGTGCCTGGCCATGCCTGACAGCAACCACCGTGTGTTTCCTGTCCCTCTCAGAAGGTTCAATCAAGGGGCCAGTGGACGAGAGCATGACGTGGAGCTCTAAGGCTTGGGATGCCGTCTGCTGCCATGGCCGCCTGCTGGGGCAGTACGGATATCACAGAAGAAAGGAAAATAGATCCAGAAGTCCTCAGTGCCCAGCACAGGCCAGGACAATGCCAGCACAGGCGTCCGGACCCTCCCCTCTGAACCCCAGCACCGGCCCGGCTGGAGACGCAGCCACACAGCAGACACTTGCCGTAGCTAGTGACAACACCAATGTGCCTCCCGAAATATGAGGCCCCGTTCATGAAACCGAAGTTGGTTCCACCATGGAACATATAAACGTTGAAGGAGATCTCATATTTGATGAATTCAGACACAGTGTGTTCAACGTCTATAGAAGGAGAAGAAGAGAACATAGAGAAAATTAGAAATTAGGGAGAGGCAGAAGTCTCTGGTGAAATCTTACTTCCAACTCCCCAGCCCAGAGTCAATTACAGTACATCCTCCCGTAGCGTCGGCCACAGGTTCCTGGAAACTGACTTTAAGCAAAACGACATAGCAGGTCCTCGTATAATGATGTTCCTTCAATGTTTCATTATAACATTAATGAGGAAAAACATACTGATTTTGTTATACATCATTTTGCTTAAAGCCTAAGAACTCTTATGTCACTTAAATATCTAATTTTCATTAAATTTTTTGAAATTGTAAAAATAATTAGTATACCCTCGTTACTACCTTTTACTGTAATGCCTCTCGGAACACTGGCTTAGAACCACCGCAACAGTCAAATGGCTGTTTTCAATCTTTAGCCACAGAAGCTGTCATGTGGCCACCTTGTTTTAATACACACAATCATCTCTCCACAGGCCACAATAGGAAGCAAGAAGCTTCAAAGTCAGTTAGACACGGGATTCGATTCTGGCCGCGCTCTTTACTCTTTGTACGAACTTGGACAGCCTATTGTCTTTCTCAGAGCTTCTGCTTCCTTACCTGTTAGATGAAGGTATTAATTCTTACTACACCATGGGACTGATGAGAAAATTCACCGATGAGATAATATATATAAGAAATATGGCATAGTGCCTGACATACAAGAGATCGGAAAACTGTCGTTTGGTGGAGGTGGTGGTGGTGGTGGTGGTTATGGTGTTATTTGGTGGTGTTATTGTAGTTGGTGGTGGTGTTATTTTGTGGTGTTATTGTTATTGGTGTTGGTGGTGGTGTTATTGTAGTTGGCATTGATGCTGGTGGTGGTGTTGTGGTATTTTGGTGGTGGTAGTATTGGTGGTGGTAATAGTGTTTTCTTTTGGTTTTTTTTTTCTATTTTTTCAGTGACCAAGTATTTTTTCAATAGTTTTCCTTCATATACAAGTGAGCTTGTTTTCATAATAGCTACAACAAAATATATTTAGTAGCAACACAGTTTTATTAAGTAAACAACAACTGCCAGGCTTGTTCTAAGTGGCTGCGTTTAGTCCTCATAACGACTCCATGAGGCAGGTTTCAGAATCAGCCCCTTTCTTGGATGAGGACACTGAGACTCAGCAGTGACAGCAGCCTGTCTCCAGTCACACGCCTAGTGTTGCACAGCGGGGATGAAAACCCTGACCTCTTTGGCTCCAGGATCCCTGCTCTCAGCCGCCTGCCTGCTGTCTCCTGACCATGATTCCCACGTAGTTGACAACTTCATGGAAAGGGACTTTGCGTTTTCCAGGTGTGATTAAGACTTTTAGCACCACTGTAGGGGCCGTCCCTGGGCAAAATTGGCTTAAGCCCAGAGTCAGCGAAACTGGGTGTGCTCTCCTTGGCGCCAGAGGTCAACAGGTCCGCACACCTGTTGGACAAACAGAACTATTCCTCATGACAGATAGCTTTATGACAGATAACCAAGTTCCTGGGGTCTTGCAAACAAGCCAAGGCATCTCATTGTCCTGCATACGGTAATGAGATAAAGAAGTTAAGATACAAGAAGTTAAGATGCAAACGTCTGCTTCCCTTAAACAATCGTCTGGAAGGAATGAAAATGTGTTTCCTCAAGGCGCCCAAGGTAGTCACGTACCAGGAAGTAGCTGCCAGACATAGAAAAACTATATAATAAAGCGACTGGTAGAATTGTCTACTGAAGTCTTGTATGTCTTGTGTGTGTCTGTGTGTTTCTTTCTGTGTCCATTCCCCGTTCTGCAATCCGGGCCGCGACAACCACCTTCTTCAAAGAAGTCATCTTTTCAGAGAAGCTTCTGTGACCACCTTCCCTTTTCTGGGCAGGTCTGTCCCCTGTCTTTTCTACCATTGCACCTTGTTTGCTTGCTTCAAAGTACCGGCCAAATGTGGAACTATATATTGATTATTTTGCTTTTCAATGATCTGTCAATTCTACTAAATTACAAGCTTGTCGGGGGCGAGTGGAACCATGTAATTTTTATTCCTCAGTGCATCCTCAGGGCCTGCAGAGTCCTTGTACCTAACAGGGGTTCAGCGGATGAATATCTGGGGCTGAATGAGCGTATTAATTAGCAGAGAACTGTGTGAATGATCCACGACTCACTGCAGAACACTTACCGTTTGCATCTTTAACATGGTGCCTATCTCCCCACTTGTCGAACCAGCCGACCCAGTATTCCATGATCAGCAGTGGCTTATCCCTCTAGAAACAAACCAAATCAAATACTAAGTCTGACAAAAAGCAAAAAAGAAAAATCAGAAAACTGAATACAACATATGAGAACTTGAGAAACTCATGCTTTTTCCCCTTTTCATCCAAAATTCTTTACCCTTCCCCCCTGCCCACTACACCTCTGCCATTATCCGCTGCTCTGGGTCCTCCTGAACACCTGTGGTCTCCAGACCTCGAGCTTCGTGTGCCTCCCTGCTACACCTGGAAAGCAACACCAGCAAGTGCAATCTTGTCTTAGCCAAGGCCGGTGTTGAAAGAACCGGTTTTGGACACACAAGGACCTGACTGAAATTCCTTATGCAGAAACGGAGGCTGAGATAACACTACTGGTAAAGACAGATTGCAGCTGAAATCCAGACCTGAGTCCAGCTGTCAGCACTGAGTCATACTGTCTGTCAAATATATTGTTCACTTTCTCTATATCTTTATTTAATTTTATTCTACGTCATCTGTGTTGAAATGCTCATTGAAATGGTGCTTCTATTCATTTCTTCCTTATTTCTAACAGTTCTTATTCTGTATATTTTTGTTAATTTTAACAA